AGGCAAGGCGGTCCCATTGTTCTGAAGTGAACCCACCCCAGCCTCTAGAGTGGTTAAGGCGGCTGGATCCCACATGGCCCACTTGCATCTCGCCATCTCGCTCCGGGACCTGCATGGCTTCAAAGCCATGGTGGCATGCACGTGCCCAAAATGACAGGACAAGGAGAGGTGGAGAGGGGCCTGTGCGACCCTCCCTGTGAGATGCTTTCTCACTCTCCCCTCTCCCGCTCTCCCCCGGCCGGTGTACACTCTGTTAAGGCGGCTGGATCCCACATGGCCCACTTGCATCTCGCCATCTCGCTCCGGGACCTGCATGGCTTCAAAGCCATGGTGGCATGCACGTGCCCAAAATGACAGGACAAGGAGAGGTGGAGAGGGGCCTGTGCGACCCTCCCTGTGAGATGCTTTCTCACTCTCCCCTCTCCCGCTCTCCCCCGGCCGGTGTACACTCTTATCTGGCAAAACTAAAAAGAAAACGTGACACAGGAGAGCTGGGCAGACGGAGGCGGGAGGCAGAAACGCACCCTGAAATGAGAGAGCTGTGACAGCGGGCAGGACTGGGGACACGGCGGGCAGGACAGAGGGGAGACAAGTGCTGGGGAGAGGCTGCCTGGATCCTGTGCTGCGGGGGCCCCCCTCTGGACCACGCGAGGCGCTGGGAGACGGGGAGGGAAGGAACAGGTCCCTTCACTCGTTTGCAGAAGTGGACATTTCACATCCTCACAGGGTCGCCTCCCTGGGTGGGGCAGGGGTGTCTGTCACATCACTGTTCACGTGCTCATCACTCAGCCACCCTGCCCAGTGCAAGGCTGCCCAGCTGCCTGTGCCTGGCCGCCACCTGGTGCTGAGGGGCCTCCATCCCGGCCACCAGTGCAGGAGCAGGACACGGCGTCCCAGGGCAGCCACAATCCGGAAGGGTGGGCCGAGGGCCAGGCTGGTCTCCCTCCTGCCTGGAGTGCCCTGGGCGAGGAAGGAGTTGGTGAAAGGTGGGTCCCACCTGGGCAGTCTGCAGAAGGGCTGGGGGCAGGGGTGAGCGTTGAGGGTCAGGCCCTGCTGCTCCGTCACACGGCTGTCCCAGTCCCTGCCCTGGGGGAGCTGAAGCTGCATGGAGGCCCCCCGGGGTGCCCCTTCTAATAAACTCTTGAAGAGGATGCTGCTCTGGTTCCTCGCGGAGGCTGGCCTTTCTGCTTGCCGGGGGCTGCACAGAAAGGGGGGTCTGGCCCAGACTACCCCTCCTTTAAGGGTCCAGGCCCTGCCTTCCTCCCAGCAGTCCAGGTCCCCAGCCCTCTCCTGCCCAGCGACCTGGTAGGCTGGCTCCCCTCTTCTCTCAGATCCGAGGTTCCCCCCTCCCCTGGTACTCGAGTTCCATTCTGCAGCTTCTGCAAGGAGCCCGGAGCCGAGGCCCAGCCCCTCCTCCCTGGTAACCCAGCCCGGTGTGCTCGGGACCAGAAATCCGGTTCGCGGGCCAGCCCGTCTCCTGCACCTCGGGAGGATCCGCAGTGTGGACTCTCGCCCCGCCTTTGCCCCTTTAGGAAACTAAAGTCCCTCCAAGACCCAGGCGGCCCGTCCTCCCGGGGCAGCCTCCCTCCTCCCCCCTCGTCCCCTTAAAATACCCGGGATCCCTATGGCAACAGGCGCCAGGCGACAGGTGCGGGTGTTATTTACGGGTCGAGCCCGAAATAGCCCCGAGGGTGACGGGGTCGGTGGATGGGCGAGGCGGGGAGCGGGCGAGCGGCCTGGAGGCGGCGGCGCACAGCCGGGCGGTTCAGGGCGTTGCGGAGCTGGGGCCGACGCGGCGCCGAGGCCGGAGGGCG